CCTTGGTACCCCTGCGACGTCATTTGGGCCTAGCTAGCTCAACCACGCTAGGGTGATTTCTCTAGTTCCCTCTAGGTTATATTAACACTATGGCCCTTTGGTGACTCCGCGGCGACCGGATTTTCTCAAAACCATTTTCTCAAATTTCTCCCCAAAATCCCTTTCACTTTCATTTGAAAACACTTTGCCCTTTTCTTTCATGTTGAATGCTATGGATGCATGCCACATATTTTCCCAATAATATGAAAATAGAGGAAATTTACACTTCACAATTTAACATGCTTCTTCATAGCAATTTCTAGGAAAATAATAAACACCATGGCATGGAAATTAACATTTAGGCATACTTCTCACATAATACAATCAACACATATAGGCATAGATTTCTAATACAACAATTATATCATTTTCAAGGCAATCAATTTAAATAAGACATGTTTGGCAACAAATATTGAAAGATAATTCACAAATGAACAAGAAATTGGGAATTAGGAACCCCTACCTCAAGATATGCAAAAACCCCTAAATTTATGCCCTAGATTTCAAAATTCTTAAAGTGCACCAACCAAGGAATTGCTCCAATCAACTCGTAGATCTCGCCATGATCTTTAATTTACTCCAAACGGCTCCCAAAAATACCAAGGATTAAGGGAGAAATCAAGGTTTAAAGCTTTTGAAGTAAAAGAAAAAGAAAAATATAATTTGAGATGGTGAGAGAGACCAGCGGGAGAGGAAGAGAATGAGACTATATTGTGGTCTCATGGCCACCAAATAGGCTAGTGGTGGGTCCCACCACTTCCCAAAACCTTTTCCTTTTTAATTTTATTTTAAATTCTTATTTTGCACCACACAATTAAATATACATACACACTTAATATCCGTAACCACATACAATACATTAAATAAAAATGCGCGTGATGCAAATAGACCCAACCAACACCCCCGTGCACGACAATTCCGGTAATGGGTCCTACACGGGACCATCCGGCCCGCAAAACGAAAAAATGTAAAAATGATAAAGCTTGCATTTCAAAGAGTCCTGAACTCAATGAAATGCCCCAGTTAACTCTTGGACATTACCGACACACTCTACGGTGTCCGGTACGTAAAACAGTAAAAGACGAAAATGTCCCTGCAATGACAAAATTCCCGAAAAATGAAAAATGGTAAAAAAATGGGAACATCACACTAAGCATGCTTAAGGTCAAATTAAAGAGGAAAATTCACAAAAATACAAGAAGTCATGGATTAGAACACCCCTACCTCAATTTTGTAGAAAATCTTTAAATGGGTCCAAATTTTTAGAATTCCTAGGATGCACCAAATGATGAATTGCTTACATCAATGAATAGATCCCGTCGTGCTCTCCGTTTTGCCGCAAACGGCATCCAAAAACTCCAAAAGATGAGAGAATAATCAAGATTTGAAGCTTAAAATGAAAAAGAAAAGAAAAATGAAAGGAAAATGAGAGAGAAAGAGATTCAACCGGGAAGAGAGAATGAGAGGCCCAAAATGTGGTCTTTAGACCACAAAAGAATTAGTGGGGAGTGGGTCGCACCACCAAAATTAAAATCCCACATTTTCTTTTTTTTTTTCCTTTTTAATTATTTTGCCACCATTATACATATATGCACACAAACCATATAATATAGCACACAACCATTTAAATACCACATAAAACACCTAAAATAAAATATATGTGATACAAATTAACCCAACTAAAATTTCCGTATGCAACAATTCCATCAGCGGGTCCCACATAGGACTGTTCGGCCTGAAAAAAAAAAAAAAGATGACAATCATTACATTTCTAGGACTCTTGAACTCAAAGAATGCCACAATCAACTCTCCGACACACCCGACACATCCTACGGTGTTCGGCACGCAAAACGAGGTACTGAAATTAAATAAATTCAGAAAATTCGAAAAACACACAAAAATGAAAAACTTCACATAAATGATGGCTGCAGTAGATGCTCTTGGTTTATCATGTCGATGTTGCCCTATTTTTCCTTTGTATTTGTAATTTTTGCACCCTTTCTAGTTTGGTTTGTATTTTTCTTTTTTCTTTTTTTTTTCTGGTTATTATATACTTGTGGACATGAGGCTTCCATTTTTCCTTGATTTATAGTTTGTATTCTTGTCTCAATAACTGATTTTGTTATATTAAGTTGCTGTGTGACAAGTTTCGTTATATTGTGTCTCTAACAGCAACCGCGACTACAAACTATGCACCTATTCTTTAGTAGGACATGGAGAAGATTGTGGTGCTAATAATTTGTATTAAAAAAATTAAAGTAATTCGTCTCCTGAACTGACATGCTGAGCTTGAGCTCTCTCAAACATGCTCGAGTCAGCTCTTCTTTCACCACCTAGACTCATTCATAACCCTAAAAACATACTAAGAGCCCAGACACTAAAACCATCTAACAAACATAATTTTTTCATGCAACCCAAGAAACAGGCTGTCCCTCAACCTTCCTTGAAGACTATTTTTCTCAAATTTGATTGGCAACTTCCATATATCCCCATTAAAAATTCTATTATCCCAATGGTCTTCAAAGGAAGAAATTATTAGAAGTCTGAAATTATAGGTCACTTGGTCATCCAATTCAATCAAAATGTATGTCAATTCTACAAAGAAGGTACACTCCGACCATCTCTAGAAACATACAGACACCTTTGTTCTACACCACCATCCCCTTCGAATGTCCATCACCAACTACCGGCGACTCCAATTAAGCATGATGAAAATCAAACTCCAAAGCGATGTAACAATTAGGCAGTTACAGCTTCTTTAATTTAGCATAATTTGTTCCGTTCAAGCGCCTTAATGCTTCATGCTCATAATCCTAATTTTTATGAACTTAAGCCTTAAGAATCCTTAATGAAGATTCAAAAACACATATAGCTTGGCGCGTAATTTGGCGATACAAAACTTTCTTGGTAGTCTATGTAATTTTGATCAAGAATCCACAAATTTGTTATTGATAGCTCCTTTGAGTGCTTTAGAAAAAGCTGCAATGATGTTACAATGGTGCACGAAATAACAAGAAATGTTTGATTTCCTTCCAACATTGGGCAACATTGCAAATCTTTCCAAAATTAAAGATATAATATAATATTAAATAAGTAAATAAATAAAATAAAATAGATAATTTATCAAAAGGTCTGTGATATATCCTCACCCAGATTTTTCACATATAGATTTGTGAATTTTGGTCCCACATTCGCATTTTTTTCTCTCACTCTGTTCGACGAACTTGGACAATACCAAAGAGTAAATATAAAATGCTGACTAATATGTATAAAATGGTAAAAGATGTATGGTATTTTCAAAAATTGTGTAGAGCTAGAAATTTTTTTTAAGACTATTCTAAAACTCAATTCTAGAATTCTTCTGGCCATACTTGTATAGATCTTAACCATTTGTCGTACGGTTGTGTGCCTATATAAGAATGTGAGCTTACTCAACACCAAATAACAAAGCCTTGTGATCTCCCTCTTAGTAATACAAGCTATTTGCATTAACGTACAATTCTCTGCACATAAAACTACTCATACTCAAGTTAGGAAAGGACAAATATGTGGTTTTTTAGCAATAAGAGAATGGTAATCCTCTTTTCTGTTAACAAAATTCATTATGGTGCTTGTGCTCTCGAGATAGTCAAGGTATAGGATGAGAGAGTGACTATATACTTAATTAGGTAGAGGGTGATGATATATGCACTAGGTAGATGGTGATTGATGAACACTAAATTTTATTAAAACTATGTTGGCTGTGTTAAGATTGTTGTGAATTTGTGATTAATGAACTGTATACTATTAATGCTACTTTAATAACCGTATTAACGGCTTTACTTATAGTGATTCTGGTTGATTAGTTAGAATATTTTATATTGTACTCCAAACTTTTTCCATTTCTTTCATCGTAATGTTCATTTACCATTGTATCCAAGCCATAAGATTACCAGAAGAGATTTCCAGTGAGAGGATTGTTTCACTCTCATAGCCCTATCACACTGCAATCTTTTACTTTCTTATTTTCTTACAAATAAGGGGATCAATATCATACCAAAAAAAAATACAAAGTGGTGAGTAAAATGTCTAGAACATACCTAATTTTTGACATTATTTACATACACCTACCAAAATTTTGACATTATTTACATACACCTGCTTTGAATTCTGTCAATTTGTTAGTATTAACTTCTATCAATGCAGTAGCAATACCATACCCTTGCTAAAGAGGACGGTAGGCAAAGCATGGCAAGGCTTATATTTGTGACCTTATACTTTGATTTATTTACTAGCCCGCTGGAAAAGCTTGGAGCAAGGCCTTTCGTCTTCATGGGTCGGAGCAATCTTTCACATAGGGCAAAGCTATACTATCATTGAACTTTTGGAAGCAAACGTACATACTCAGAAAAACATAAGATAAATGGCCATGAAAATTGTACTGCACTGCAAAAACAATTCGGCTCGGTTTGTTTGGGTGTAAAATATTTTTTTATTTTCGAGTATTTAATTGTCGTAAAATATTTAAGAAGAAAAAAAATAATAAAAATCTAACAAATATAATTTACCCAAACAAATATAATTTACCCATCAATTTTTAATAAGTTATTTTACACGTCTCTTCTTATGGACTCGACTGAAACCTCAGTCGAACACCAAATAAGTAAAAATAAAAAAATATATTTTACCTGAAAAAAGAAAATCTTTTCTGAAAAAAATATCAGCCTAATCAAAACAATTTTTTTGAAAAAATAAATTGTCACATCTAGATCAAGAAAAAACTGCAAAATGAAAATATATGGCATTTTTTGAAAGTGCTTCCGGAAAAGGGGAACTTAAGACGAGCAAAATAGTTCCATAGAAACAAGCAAACACTGTCATTGATCCTGTTGTACCCTTACAGAAGAGAGAGCAATATAAACAGAGCATTTAATTCTTTGAATACTTCATCTGATCTTGGTCACAATGAAGCATATAGTATGTGAAAGAAATGAGATAATACTGAACATTGGACAGAAAATGAGAGAGAGAAATCTATTACAGGGAACCTTTACTTGATGCATCCAACTATATGGGGAACTGCTCATCATTGATAAAAACTGCTTACTTCATTTACAGAATTAGTTTCTAATAGAAGCCTAACAATGTATATAATGTGTCTCGTTTGTGTGTTTGTGTGTGGTTCATTGAGCATTCACTAGGAAACTCTTGAGACTAAAGAGATTTGAGTTTTGAGTTTAGAACGCCCAATTTAAATAAACGGACATTTCTCAAAACTATAGAGCTGTCAAAAATAACTAACTATATGACATTGATCTCTTGCGCACTTTTGAAGTTGTACCACGCGAGTCCTTCAAAACTTCGGCATATTTCAACAATTCAGATCTCTTAAAGGTTTCCGAGTCTTGGTGAAATTGATTTTCTTGGTCTGAATCAACAACACAATCACTGGTTGAAGGATATATTTCACAAACATATGAAGATCCCAAATCACTGTTTCTCCGAAGGTGTTCAAAATCCTTGATGTCTTTTACACTCCTATTTAACTCGAAAGATCTTTGGAGATCCGAAGAATATCTAGATAAACCCTGAGATGAAGAAGTTCTCAATCTGTTGCCATGCCCATCTGTTCCATTGACAAACCCTGCTGGAATAGCTGAATTGCACTGTGGAGAATCACCGGAGTTCTCTGCTATAAATGCAGTTGTCTCCAGTGAAGAACCCCGACTATGATGCTGGTTGTCTTTCCCTCGTAATAGTCTCCTGAGCTTACTGAAAAGTTTTGTTTTGCTCGAAGTGTTTGTTCTATTAGCAGATGAATCATCAACAGAAGAATCATCAAACTCACCAGAGTCTGTAAGATAGGAGGCTTGAAAGGATGACCACCGATCAGAATCGAAGTCCACAACATTTATCCCCTTTTCCCCCACACCTTCTCTATTTGCATATTCAAGTATTAGTTGCTTGGCTTTCTCCTCTGATTCGGGGCTTAAGGTTTTACCAAGGTCCCTAGCAATTGTTTCACCGGGTCCGGGCTGATAATTCCTCAGCTCATAACGTAAGCAAGCATTTATCCATCGGAGATAGACTAGTTCCTCAACATCACCACACCGATCAGCTTGAAGTTGCTCAATTTCCTTCATTAAATCTTCATTTTGTTGTCTTAAACGATGGGTTTCTTTCTTTAATGCTTCCGCCTGCAACACATATACCCATAAATTAAACTAAATCCAAAACAATGAAATAAGAAATACAAGGAAGAGAGTGGACCAGGAATAAACTAAATCACCTCCTGATCTTCCAAAACAGACGTTGGGAGGATTTGAGTGGACTCCAGCTTCTGAGCCACAGCAGTATTTTCTAGCCGCAGACTATGATTAGACTTCCTTAATTCCTCTGCCTCCTCCTCCAAATTCTTTAGTCTTTGCAGCTTCAACTGAACATCGAGATCACTTGCAACTGCCTCGTGTTCCTGGTCCTGCAGCTTTGTGACTCTTTGTTGAAGGGTCAAGATCTGTTCTTTGTTTAGTTCAGTTTCAGCCCTAAGTTTCCTATTGAGAAGCTTTATTTTTGCTTTGGCTGTTTCAAGCTCAGCCATGACTTCTGCATAATCAGCAACTTGTGCCTCCAATCTTCTATTGTCTGCCTGCAAGGACTCGATCTTGAGAGTAAAAAGTTTGGCCTCCACGTTGTTTATCTTCAATCGGTTTTGGAGCTCCATCAAAGTGGTTTCTTGCTCTTTAAGACCATAATACTCAAGCAACTGGGCCTCAAGAGTACTCTCCCTCTCTCTAAGAATTATGACCATGTTCCTCAAGTTTTCAATCTCTTTCTCGTAGTTTTCACTCTCAGCAAATTTAAATGCTTTAGGTGCTTCGAAATCTGACGAGGATGTTTCTACATGTTTCCTTGGAGAAAAACCAGCTTCTGGGGCAGCCATATCAAATTCATTCAAAAACTCATTAAACTCCAGCAAGAGGAACTCATCTTTACCTCCACTATATCTATCACTCGGAGAGAGACTGGAAATCGTACTGTCAGCGGTAACCTTGGGAAGAAATGACTCATCCTGCACGAGAGAAACCAAGGTTTGTTTGGGTCACACAAATTATAATCTAGCAGAACCGCACGATCAACTCATTTTACTGGTTTGCGGAGAAATGGTATCACATCGGCCATATTTTCTTTATACTTTCATTTTTGTTCCCCCATAGTTTACAAAATTTTGTCAGCAATTTTTATATTTGTGATCATTTAATTCCTCAAATTTTCTCATCATAAAGTGGGGAAAAAAAAAAAGGAAAGGAAAGAAATTCTCGATAACCAATAGAAACGTCAAAACAGCTTCACTTTTGAATAGCTGCCACACGATTGAAGCTTCCGTTCCCCTATTCCAAGACTTCTTTTTTTCCGGGAAGGATACTTCTAAGACTTATTGAAGTAACACCTAAAATTAAACGGATCTTTAACCTAAACATTTTAACAAGCATGAACTGAGCGTGAAAAAAATCAGGTACTATTTAGCTCAATGGTATCCATGATTAATTTCACCAATTTTTTCTTGCATCAACACGGTAATCGACTTCAATAGAAGTAACTCAGAATACATAGATAAAAAGCACAAAATTGTTTAATATATAAACCCTCAACTATTAAAAAAAGAAAAAAGGAAAATCAAATAAATCAATTATTGAACAATCAAATAATTAAATTTGAATGTAAAGCATAAATAACCTTACATGTTTCTCTGGAGCAATTGAATCAGTATTGAAATAACTAATTGTTGCCTGTTCATGATCATTTTCTAGCCCAGATTTTCCCACTTCAGAATCAACTTGATTGCCACAATCTGTATACAAATTAGCATCATATACGATTAAACATGGATTAAAACTCAAAACCCAGATGAAGATTGACACAAAGTAAATATAAAAAAGGGCAAAGAGCAAACCCGAAGGAGGCAGAGATTTAGAGGGTCTGGTTGGTTTGGTTCTGAGGATTGAATAGAGAATCCCACCAAGAGAGAGAGCCAAAGCCACCCCAAATCTCAACAGCACAGGCCTTATATCTCTCTTCTCTCTCATAGACATAATCACAAACCTCTAATTGTAGGTCTAATCTTAAACCCACATAGATATATACATATATAAAGATATGCACACATAGAGAGAGAAACAAGATGAAGGGAGATCATAGGTTTTCTTCTTTCCCCCATCTACACGCCCAAAAACAAAACAAATCAATCGACCCATGTGAGAAAAACAGTTCATAAACAAAATACATATTCCAATATTTTATATAGAGAATTTAGAGAGAGAAATTCCAGAGGACAGAGAGAGAGAGGACGGCCGACTTACCGCTGGACATTAGATTCCTATACGGTTTGAATCTGATACAGATGAAAAACTGCAACCATGAAAACCAAGGGAATATTTGTAGCGAGAGAAAGTTAACATGGAAGACGCTTTGATTTGATCTTCTCTTGCAGGTTGAAAATGTTGGTTCTCAAACAGTTGCGTATGAACACAACGTTAGTGATTGATTAGTGGACACGAGTGTTTTATATTAGTACAATGAAATTGGTCAAAAGATGTTACATCCGTCTTATGTCATGTTTAATGCAATATGCAAAAGTAGTTCAGAGAGAGAGAGAGAGATTTGATGGAAATTTCAAAATTAGGAGAATCTTATTCGAAAGAGTTAACACAAGTTGGCTTTAAATTTTAGGTTAGGATTAGACTGGAAATATTAGGCGCTTCATTTCTATTTTCCCTCCATTTTGGAATTCAACCGGCAAGGGCGGGTTAGGGTCAACCCGATTCAATTATTTTTTAATTTTCTTATCGTAAAAAAGATTTAAGCCAAACAATAACAGGTGTTGTTCTCACGCTCTATACACACATTTTTACTTTCATTTTCACTCTGTGTGACTAAAATTTGTCGCTTTCACTCTCGAATTGACTCTTTCTCGCTGTCATTAGAAAAATAAATAAATAAATAGTGAATGTTTAAGAATTTTGATATTTGTTAGAGAAATATGGACTCAATAAAAATTTCATTAAAGGAGGAGGTAGATAAAATTTCATCAAAAGGTTAAAGTAGAACTTTATTTCAAGGAAAGGAAAATGGGAACCACTTCAATGATATAATCATCTTAGGTAAAACCTATGCTCCAACTTTTGCTCACTTTTTTTGGGGCAGATTTCTATCTTTTCTATTTCTTTTAGTTCTATCACTATTTTTCTTTTTCTTTTTAATTTTATGTATTCGAAAACTTGGGTTTTTAATTTAAACTCAGTTAATAAACATCTAGAAATCAAAAAATGGAACAAACATTGCAAAGTAGGCCATTTCCTTTTCATTCTTTTTTTTGGTGATTTGGGCACTTCTATTATTTTCTTTTTTCCTAATTTTATTTTTCCTTTTCAAATGGAGGTGGGGAAAGTATAGAGATAAAAACAAAATTTTAAAAAGAAGGGGAAAAGAAAGAATGGGTTTGATCTTGAAATTAATTAACTTTATTGTATTTAGAGCTTGGAGATACTATTTAACATTTATCCAACATCTACATTAGCCATATTTCGATATTTGTATAACCTAATTTGTAAAACATATTCATTTTGGTTACTGTGTTCGACTTATTTCAGTTGTGCACAATGATTAAATTCTCCATGCAACCATCGGTGTAGGTATACTATAATTGTCATCTTTGACTTATTCAATTTTGATCCAATTTTTTTTTTTTTAAAGTTCATAAAAAATCAGAAAATAAAAATACATAATTAAAAGTAACACTTTTTAACTGAGTTTTTCCTTTAAAATCTCAAATAAAAAAGTTTTTGTATTGTTTTGTCATTTTCAATTATTTAAAAAAAGAAATATGTTAGTATAAGAAAATGACTAAATAAGTCCTTAAACTCTAGGCTAATGTACAATTAAGAGAGATAGTATATGATACGGTATGAGTCATATGACCCAGCAATTAAATATTCATTTCTTTTTCATAAAGAAAAGAACATCCATATGTCCTCCTAATTAATCAACCGAATAGGATTAGTTGGTCCAAAGACTCCCAAACCCGCGTTAAAGAAATTAGTCAAATCAAAAAAAAGCCACGTTCATTGAAGAAGAAAATTTTATAAGCCTAAATAAGTGGCCACGTGCACCACACATGTGTGAAGCCAGAAACTTCCAACATTTATATTTTCTATGGTCCACACACATCGACTCTCTCTTGCCCTAAAAGAAAAAAGTTATTTAGCAGATGCTAGGGACATCACATGTTTCATACAGCATTACCACCGAACTTACCCTCTAATTATTTTATTATTATTATTAATTTTTTTAATTTGTTTTTTGGACCAACAATTACAATGTCAGATTTTCATATTTAACTTCGAACTTTGAAGATGTAAGTTGAAAATTTTTATTATTAGACTATTTTATTGGAGTTGCTTGCTTTTAATGTTATTTTAGAATTAAACGATAAGATTATTCTCAATAATTGTTTTAAAATTTTAATTATAAATTAATTGGATAATTCGTAGATCAAAAAGATTTTCATTATGTATGGTTGAGATTGTTATGAACTTGTGATGGCCAAATGGTAGAGTGAAAAATTGAATGTTTAACAATATGACAAGTTGATAGACTTGAATTGGAGGGATAAACATTAATTTTGATATCATCAATATGGAGATGAAAAGTAAACCCATTAATTACAAAAATTAATGGGTTAGGTGCCGCGATGTGTAAACTCATTAATTACAAAACTATTGAATAAAGGACTACTTGTAAAAGTTCAATATTTCATATAGTGGTGAACCAGAAATTTGTTTTAGTGGGGCGATTTGGAACATCAATGAAGTAAAAATATATATTGTATCCACTAAAATATTATTTAACTTTTTTTTTTTTTGACTTATTATTTAACTTAATTATGTATTAAAATTATGTGTGTTATTTTCTGGGCAAAAAAATCAATACTGCTAAATTTGTATTTCTCAATTTCTATGTGACAATCCCAAGTGGCATGACCAATGGCAAAGTCACAAGCAAATAAGCTAATAAATATATAGTCTTTTTTCATCTCAACCATAAATTAATTAGAATTTTTCTTACCATCTTAGAATTTGCACTGGAAAAGATAAATTTTTAACAAGAAGAATAGATAGGAATTTTTTTATTTCGTTATACAAAAGAGAATTGTGAATGATGAACAGATGAATAATCAAGATGGAGATTAGAGATGGACCACATGGTGGAGTTCTTAACTAAAGTCTATGTGCATAGAAGTTGGGGAGAAGGGAAAAAATAAATAAATAAATAAATAAAGTGGGGGCAAAAAATAAAATTTATGGAGGCATGAATTTATAAAATTATTCAAACTTTTATTAGTAAAAATAGAATTATCTAAAATAATTGGGGGCAAGTGCCCCACTGGGACTCATGTTGGCCTATTCTTGATTTCCCAATTTTGTTGTAACATAATGTTGCGTTCTCACATTTTTAAGTAAAAGATGAGAACTTAACTCCACTTTTATATGCTTGTTTTAATAAATATATAATAGATCACTCTTTAAGAAGTGAAATGAATAGCAAGTTTTTTCTTTCATCTTATTTATTTATTTATTTATTTTTACTGTTTTTGTTGTTCTTTATGACTGGGTAACACATTCAAGAGGAGGAGTTCACGTAGTTAATGTCCAAACTCGTAGAGAACGTTAAGCCGGATACAAATTTTGCAAAAATTTACATTATGACCTCCGTTGAGGTTTAGTGCATAATAATTACCAACTCTCTCTAACTAAACCTTGCAGTCTAGTAGTGTTTATTTTTACTTTACAAAAAAAAATAATAATGAAGATTTAAGTTCTCACATGGATAAAAGATTATGTGAATTTTTTTTATCAATAAAAAAATAAATAAATACTAACCTTCTCGTTTAACTAATCACTTAATAAGTGACGTAAAACCTCTTTTTTAACCCTCAGTATGTGGGACAATAAGATAAAAATATCTCAGTAACACTTTTATTAATGTGTAATTTTGTCTCCTGCCTTACATTCTACTCCTTTGTTTTCATCCCTACCGACCTCTCTTCCATTCACCTCTTTCTCCCTGCAAACTTTTTAAAATTTCTCAACATTCAAGTTGAATTGAGAGCTCCACCCATTCACCCAACCACTTAGCTTAGTATTTCATTAAAGTCTCCATTGAGCACCCATTGTGGACTCCATTGCATCCCTCATCACTTTCAGAAACTCCCCCATTGGGCTGCTTGTTTGTGACAAGACAACCAATGCTTGCATAAAAGAACAGTGAGACACCACTAGGTATAACAACTAGGTCCCTTCTGCTATCATCATAACTCTACTTGATTTGAAATTCATTCTTGTTTATAACGACTAGGTCATTGTCATCTTTTCACTGTAAAACTGATGCCATCAGCTTTGATTAGCCCAATGGTATAATTTTTTTACTTCCAAAAGAATGAGTGGATGAGTTCGAGTTCGGACATGGTCAATGTCACCAACACAATAGTATTGCATGTTTACTCTCAAAAGAATTAGGGGCGGAGTTGGAGTTCTGGTGGTGTGGACAACTCTTAATTTTTTTTATTCTTCTTATTTTTTGGCAACGATAGAGGGTTGGGAGTTAGTGGAGATTAGGGAAAGGAGATTCGAACCTAGAAAAATAGGATGAAATCTGACTCTTTAATTATCATTCATAGAGCACCGTCACACCTGACTAATGCTCAATTAAGAGGGATAATATTCTCTGGCTCAAAATTGTTGGCTTTTTGAAGAATTCAACTTTTTATGGTGTTGTGTTTTTAATACTACTTTTTTGGTGTATTGAAAAAAGTGAATTTTAAAATTTATTTTTAAATAGTTCGTAATTAGTGCACTTGATTAATCAAATTAATGTCGAAAGAATGGTTTAAAAACATTATAAAAATATATATATCCTTTTTGAATGAGATATATTTCGAAATATCGAAAAAATAAAGATAAACAAGAATATAGACACGATGAATAAGAATTTTGAGACTATGTGTATATGATATAACTCAACAAATAAATATTCATTTCTTTTTCATTAAGAAAACAACATCCATATCATATGTCCATCTAATTAATCGATGGACCAAAGGTTGTTGAAGACTCCAGCTTTAGGATTGGGTTGGTCCAATGACTCCCAAACCCATGTTCAAGAAATCAGTCAAATCACAAAAGGCCACGTTCATTTAAGATGCTTGGGAATATAAGTGGCCACGTGCACCAAGCATGAAGTCCAGAAACTTCCAACATTTATATTTTCTATGTTCCACAGTCCACAGACTCCACACATCGAGTCTGTCTTGCCCTAAAATAAAAAGTTATTTAGCAGACGCTTGGGACATCACATGTTTCATTGATACAGCATAACGACCTAACTTACCCTCTAATTATTTTATTATTATTATTATTATTATAGATATATATATATATATAAATTTGGGCGAATAAATGTGGTGTCAGAAGTCCAGATAAAGTCTTTCGTTTCAC